GATCAGCTTGACTTTCTTAGATGTACCATATATCTGGTACATCTGGGTGTAAACTGCCTATTTAAAAAGTTATTTCTGTTTCATCATTATGTCTTAATTATTCCATAACAAAAGCGAAAAATGTTCTTAGAGTGCAATAATGACTGCTGTGTTTACCTATATTCCTCTGTCTCAAGGTTAGCAGCAGCTGCCACTGCATAATTAATAGGGTTAACAAAAGGAAGTGGCCAAAGACGCGCAGCTTTGCACACTAAGATCAGCAAATTCCTGCAAAGCAAACCTGTCAGCTTAGTGAGAACTCAGTGGCACTAGTGGCAGGCTTTTTTTTTGCCATGTGCATATGAAATGCATTTTCTAAAAGCATCCTACATGCAGAATAATACAAAGTGACTGGTATTAATTAACGCACGCGCATCTTTGAGCCTTATAATCCCTGAGGGGTTCTTTAGTAACCGAGGCATATTTCCATAGCCAACTCCAAAGTAATAACAGTACTCTTGGTGATGTGTATTCATTTATTTCGTCTAAGCAAATAGTTTAGTGCCTACAACAATAGGGGAGTTGATTTAAAAGGTGTCTTGACAACTCATGATTGTTGAATCATGACAGCTATGCTCTCATAGGCTAATATGACTCAGAAAGTGAATGCTGCACAAACATCTTTGTTCAGAGCCAAACAATGGTCCCAGAGCATGAACGTCCCGTATATTGTGACATTTCCCTATGTTCCAAAGTTACAGTTTTGTTATTGAAGTATTGACAAGTAACTTGTAACCAAGAGGACGTTTTAATTTTATGGAATTACTTAACTCATTGTGGAGTACTGGCAGTAAAAAGAAAAGAGGAGCAAGAACAATGGGACTGGACAGTGTTCTTCACCGGGGCACAGAAGGCTGAACCCAGTCCAACATAAACAGTATCAATGCCATCACTTTTTTTGTTGGCGGCAGTAATGGTCGCTTTCCCCTGAGCTATAGCGTAGATTGTGCCAGTTCTCTCATGTTTATGCAGGGGATGGCATCCCCCTCATTCCCACACCCGCCACAACCCCCTGTTAGTCCCGATGCCTCTGTTTGGTTTGGTACACAGACTGTGCCACAAGACAGAGTGAGTCACAAGCAGTGTTGGAAATGCCGTCCTTTGAGAAAAGCCACACGGGGGAATGGGGTGTTTATTGCTCACAGTTGCTTACTGTATCCGCTCAAATACTGTGTCACCAAACTGGGGTTGTAGCAAAGATTTGTTTTCATTACTG